GTTTTTACGCTTTGGTTTGCAATTTGGTAAGTTTCGGTGAAAGTAATGTTGAGGATTGTTGGGAGGGAGTCCTACGTTGGCTAATCTAGGGAATGATCGTGGGTTTATAAGTGAGGAATACTTCTCCATTGGTATGAGGCCTTTTGGGGAAGCCCGAAGCAAAGCCATGAAAGCTTATGCTCAAAGTGGACAATATCATACCATTGTGGAGATCCGTGATTCCTAATAGGGTATTAGAGTCATGCCCTTAACTTAGTCATGTCAATAGAATTCTCAAATGTTGAACAAAGAAAGTTGTGAGCCTCGAAGGTGTAGTCAAAATTGACTCAAGTGTCGAACAAATGGTGTACTTTGTTCGAGGACTCCATAGGCCTCGGGGGAGACTCTATAGTGTACTTTGTTTGAGGAGAGGATTGTTGAGGATTGTTGGGAGGGAGTCCCACATTGGCTGTATGGTAATGATTGTGAGTTTATAAGTACGTAATATATCTCCATTGGTATGAGGCCTTTTAGGAAGCCTGAAGCAAAGCCATGAGAGTTTATACTCAACGTGGACAATATCATACCATTGGGGAGATCCGTGATTCTTAACATGGTATCAGAGTCATGCCTTTAACTTAGCCATGTCAATAGAATTCTCAAATGTCGAATAAAGAAAGTTGTGAGTCTCGAAGGTGTAGTCAAAAGTGACTCAAGTGTCGAACAAAGGGTGTTCTTTGTTCGAGGACTATAGAGAAGGAGTCGAGCCTCGATTAAGGGGAGGCTGTTTGAGGGCTCCATAGACCTTGGGGGAGGCTCTATAATGTACTTTGTTCGAGGAGAGGATTATTGAGGGTTATTGGGAGGGAGTCCCACGTTGGCTAATTTAGGGAATGATCATGGGTTTATAAGTAATACATCTTCATAAGTAATACATCTCCATTGTTATGAGGTCTTTTGGGGAAGCCCAAAGCAAAGCCAATGAGAACTTATACTCAAAGTGGACAATATCATACCATTGTGGAGAGTTGTTATTTTTAACAAGTAACCCTTAGTTCCTTATCGGTGGGTTTTGGCTTCTGATAGCCCCTAGAGATTTACTAGAACACGTCCTTATCTGGTGAAGCACTCTTCTCAAGAAGCCTAGTTAGTTGCTGTGAAGATGTTCTTATACTTGCAAGTTCTTGTTCATACTTTTCTTAACTCATGTTTATGGATGTAGGCATTCTATTGATTAAAATGTCATCTGCAAATCCTTATTTTGATGACGTTCGGACGAAACCGGAGGTAATCGATCCTCCCCAAGATGAGGACATGATGGATGTTAGCGAAAGTGTTAGTGATCCTACTCGAAATGGAGGAAAGCCTAATGTAGCTGTCTCTAGCAGCGTTCGTGAGCTGTTGGAGTGTCCTGTTTGCTTGAATGCTATGTACCCTCCCATTCATCAGGTCTGTTGCCATCTTTTCAAAATCTTTTGAACGAAATTGCTTACTTTTTTTAAATTCCTTTAATCTAATTTGTCGACACGATATTGGCCTTTTTCTTAAAGGCGTCTAAGGAAGGTACCATATAGGTGAACGTATTCAATAGTTTAAACGAACAACTAGAAGCCATACTGTACCTTGGAAGATAGATGATTTTGTGATAAGGAATCGCTACAAAAGAAGTAAGATTTGGATTATCTTATTGATCAAATATCACAAGCAACATTGATCATGTCAAGCTTGAATGATTCTAAACATGCAATCTAAACTACGAAGAATTGAAAAAAAAAAAAAAAAGAACTTAGCCCTCGGATAAAGAAAAGGTAAGAACTGCGAGATCTCTAGTGAGGACACTGGGCCCCGAAGTGGGGTTGATTGTGAGATCCCACATCGGATGGAGAGGGGAATAAAGCATTCTTTATAAGGGTGTGGAAACCTCTCCCTAGCAGACACGTTTTAATGACCTTGAGGGGAACCCGAAAGGGAAAGCCCGAAGAAGACAATATCTGATAGTGGTGGGCTTGGGCTATTACAAAAACACTTAGCTCTGATGATGGAAACTAAAATTCGGATTACCTTGTTGATCAAATATCTCAAGGTAAGAACACTTGTTTGAGATACAAATCACTCCACAAACAAGATCGATCATGTCAAGCTTGAATGATTCTAAACATGCAATCTTAATTACGTAGAATTGCAAAGAAACTTAGTCATTGGCTAAAGGAAAGCACAAATGCTCTTTTTACTCGTCCCTTTCACAAAGACAACATACACCGCTCTATATAGCTTCAAAATAAAAACCTTAACCTTAGGCATTCCAAGAGCCATAACTTTCATAGTATAGCAGGTTAGACGTCTGATCTGGATGATATCTACCGTGTTAATACCACCTAAAATCAACGTTCAAATCTTACTTTCTTAATATAGTTGTGCTTTGCATGGATGTAGTCTGCTACTTACTCAGAACCTTCATTTTGGCATTTGAGCTTGCCTTGGTTCATATCGATTAACGTTCTGTCATTGCAGTGTTCGAATGGTCACACATTGTGTTCGGGTTGCAAGCCTAGGGTGCACAACCGGTGCCCGACCTGCAGGCATGAACTTGGCAATATCAGATGTCTTGCATTAGAGAAAGTGGCTGCATCTTTGGAACTTCCATGTACATATCAAACCTTTGGGTGCGCGGGCATATACCCGTACTATAGCAAGCTGAAACATGAATCTCAATGTGCATATCGACCCTATAACTGTCCGTATGCGGGGTCGGAATGCACAGTTGTTGGTGATATTCCATTTTTGGTAGCACACCTAAAGGATGATCACAAAGTCGACATGCATAGTGGGAGCACTTTCAATCATCGATACGTCAAGTCAAACCCGCAAGAGGTCGAAAATGCTACCTGGATGCTAACGGTACTATTCTACTTCATATAAATCATTTTTGGGTTAAACATGTATTCAAATGAAGCCTTCGTTATCAAGAACGAGCGTATTAGCTAGAAGAGGCTAACGAATCGAGTTCATAGGTTGTAAATATTGAGATGTCTGATACAAAACTGATACCGTTTTTTCGGTTGACTTGTAGGTTTTCAGCTGTTTTGGTCATTATTTTTGTTTACATTTCGAAGCTTTCCAGCTCGGAATGGCACCTGTCTATATAGCCTTCTTGCGCTTCATGGGTGACGATAACGAGGCAAAGAACTACAGTTATAGCCTTGAGGTTGGTGGAAATGGGAGGAAGATGGTTTGGCAAGGAGTGCCACGGAGTATTCGGGACAGTCATCGGAAGGTGCGAGACAGCTTTGACGGGCTTATTATCCAACGAAACATGGCTCTGTTCTTCTCGGGCGGAGATCGGAAGGAATTGAAGCTGAGGGTAACTGGTAGGATTTGGAAGGAGCAGTGAAAGTGTAGGTACGTTTAGGTGTCCTTAGAAAGTAAAGGAGGCTAAATAGAGAGAATGATACTATAGACGTCCAACCATGTAATGTAATATAGTTGTTCAAATACATCAACTGGAAAGCCTGTGTTCTTTACTCTTGTAAGAGAATTTCTACTTACTACTTTTTGCATTTTGCTCCCCACAAGAGTTCGATATTGCACTTTTAGGTCCATCCCGAGAAAAACTTAAAAAGTCTTACTCGTTAAACTATGCTTAAGTTGATACGAGCACTATGTCTTTATCTAAATGCAGTTTCTATAATCACAAAAAATAAGATATATGTTTCGACTAAAACATTCGAGATTTGAATTTTTCCTTCTACAAATTCGTAAGAACCTACTCGACCCTTAAGAAGGTTGGGGGCGGTATTCTAAAAAGCCAGGGATCAGTACAACGTCAAAAGTAGGTTTTTTTTTATTGTCTCATTGACCTTGTTTAGGCCTCCTTTGTGCTTCATGAGCGGAGTTGATTTGTCCTTACCAACCTCTATTTTCGAGTGGAGTTGATTTGTCCTTACCAACCTCTATTTTCGGGTGGAGTTGATTTGTCCTTACCAACCTCTATTTTCGAGTGGAGTTGATTTGTCCTTACCAACCTCTATTTTCGGGTGGAGTTGATTTGTCCTTACCAACCTCTATTTTCGGGTGGAGTTGATTTGTCCTTACCAACCTCTATTTTCGGGTGGAGTTGATTTGTCCTTACCAACCTCTATTTTCGGGTGGAGTTGATTTGTCCTTACCAACCTCTATTTTCGGGTGGAGTTGATTTGTCCTTACCAACCTCTATTTTCGGGTGGAGTTGATTTGTCCTTACCAACCTCTATTTTCGGGTGGAGTTGATTTGTCCTTACCAACCTCTATTTTCGGGTGGAGTTGATTTGTCCTTACCAACCTCTATTTTCGGGTGGAGTTGATTTGTCCTTACCAACCTCTATTTTCGGGTGGAGTTGATTTGTCCTTACCAACCTCTATTTTCGGGTGGAGTTGATTTGTCCTTACCAACCTCTATTTTCGGGTGGAGTTGATTTGTCCTTACCAACCTCTATTTTCGGGTGGAGTTGATTTGTCCTTACCAACCTCTATTTTCGGGTGGAGTTGATTTGTCCTTACCAACCTCTATTTTCGGGTGGAGTTGATTTGTCCTTACCAACCTCTATTTTCGGGTGGAGTTGATTTGTCCTTACCAACCTCTATTTTCGGGTGGAGTTATCATCGAGTTGTTCTTTATTATTATTATTTTAAAAAAAAACTTAATTATATCTATGAATTATAACGTATTTCAATTATAAAAATTCAACCCAACCTAAATTTAAAAAAAAAAAAAATAAATAAATAAATCTAACCTAAACCAATACTTATGATTAATAATTTAAATTGATCGAGTTATCAGGTCTTATGAACCATTAGGGGATGGGTATCTTATGAACCATTAGGGGTAAAATGGTCATTTTATAGTGTGAGCGACGTGTAAAGCTAAATTGGACACTTGTCTAAAAATCCAAATGGAAAATGGCCACACGCGATGGGATGCGCGTGGTCTTATAGTAATCGGCCAATAAATAAACGGATAAACTAACTTACCAGAAATTCTGTGATCCCCTAAAATTCGAATTCCCCTCCCGACGCCATTTCCACTATCCACCAAAATCACGAGAGGACTTTATCCATTTTTGCGCCGAAATGCTGTTTGTTGTTTGCGATTATTGTACCCATTTCATCTTCTTCAATCTTCCATCTGTTTTTCTGTTCTAATTTCCACCCAAATGCAAATTTCTCTCGGTTCGTTTCGTCTTCCATGAATTTCCCTTCGTTTTCTGTTGAATTCCCCCCCAATCGAGGCATTTTAACCTTTCCCCTGTTTGTATTCTCTGTATTTTTTAGGAACCATTTAGTTTTTCGTTTTGCCTCATGGAACAAAGAGTTGTTGTATTGAGCCCTAATGCGATTACTACGCATTTCGCGCCGTTGTTTGTTAATAGGCGATGCCGAGAAGAAGCTTGGAGATGAATTTGGTGATTTTTCTTTACTTTTTTAGGGTCTTTTAAAAGGTGCTCTGTACTTTCTAGGATCTATTGCCAATCTCAGGATTCTTTTCTTTGATGATCTTTTGTGATTAGGGATCAATCTCTCGGACTTTTTCTAAACGTAATTGCAGAGTTAAGTTTGTGGGTTGCAACAGCATTTGTGCTTGGATTAATCTTTGCTGGACATGTCGTTGAAGTTGCACCATATTGATCTAAAGGGTGGTTCAGGTATTCTCTTTCTTTGTTCATTTTTTCGTGAATTTGGTGTGTTTCTGTAAACATTAAGCTTTGATGGAATGTAAGTTTTGGGTCGGAAATTGTGTTTGGAATGGATAACTCAATTGGTTTAAGCATATATCCTTAACCAAGAGGTTAGAGATTCAAATTATACCTCTCACATATCGTTGAACTCATGAAAATAGGTCTAATGATTCTAAAGTTCTGATTATTTTTATAGAAACAACTTTGTTCATGGTTAAATTAACATTGATTTTCAAGTTAATCTAATCATTTAGATTATTTATTTCATGAAGGCTAGGATTTAATCTTCATTCATGAGATCCAGCAGGTGGGATAGTGATTGAATGCGTGGAAATGAAAAGGGGTTAGGATCAATCTAATCATTCATTCATTTGGAGAAAAATCTAGGTGCTAATATGATATCTTTGCGCGTAAAATCCTCTTCTGACCTCTATGTTCCATCATTGATCAGGTACCCAGAAAAGGCTGAATGATATCTCAGCTCAGTCCACAAATAAGTACTGTGCAGATTGTGGATCTCCAGACCCAAAATGGGTGTAAGCATTCTATATTTCAATTGAACTGATTGATTTTTCTATAGAATTTGACACTTGTGAAAGGTGCAATCCTTCCTCAGAAGTTTGAACCATGCTTGTGAGATAGTGTTTATAGGGCCGACCACATAATACATATCAGCTTGCCAACTTCTTTTTACTCCTATCTTGCTCTCTTTACGCTTTGCAACTATTTTTCTTTTATTGGTTAGTGTTCTTGAATTAAGATGATTGTGAGATAGTCCTCTCTTTTTTAGAACTCTTCTGTTGCAATCTAACTCGATCGATTCTTCATTGGGTTCTTGAATTGTGGGAAAAGTATCTGAGATGAAAGTAACTATATTATCTGATGAAGTTATGAAAGCACCACCAGTGATGTATGTATCTGATCCAATCATTTAACTCAAATTATGTGTTAGCTTTCCCCTAAAGTTCTTGAGACAGTAACAGAGCTACTACCAAAATGTTCTTTCAATTTTCGCATCTTGGGGTTCATATTTTGACCAATCATTCACTTGTTTGATGCAGATCGTTGAGTTTTGGGGCATTTATTTGCATCAAGTGCTCTGGAGTACACCGGAGCCTTGGAGTGCACATATCCAAGGTGTTTTTCTTCTATGCTCTTCATGATCTACTCCTATATTCAACAGCTTTGATTTATCTATGCCAAGGCTGGAAGAAATCACTGATATTTTGATCATATGGCTTGGAGTTCCCTTACTATGAATTAAAATGATTATGATTTGAGAATCAAAATAGCTTTTTCAGTGTTTATAATTGGTTCTGGAATTATGGCAGGTTCTTTCAGTGAAGTTAGATGATTGGACTGATGAACAAGTTGAGGCTTTGATGAGTGCTGGTGGAAATACTGCTGTAAACAAGAAGTATGAAGTTTACATCCCAAAAGGCAACAGAAAACCTAAGCCAGATTCCTCCATAGAGGATCGTCTAGATTTTATAAGGTATATCTTCGTAATGATATTTTTGCTTTATGTGTAGAAGCAAATACCGCCCAAATGATATAATGATTACATGTTGGCTGCACAGGAAAAAATATCAGCTGCTGCAATTTGCAAGCTTTGATGACCAGTTTTTCTGTGCTTTTCCACCCCCGGAGAAGAGAACTTCTAAGGACAATGGAAACCAAGAAAAGCGAAATTATGATAAACAACCAACAAAAAGTCGAATTGGAAATGCATTCCGGAATAGCTGGGGAAGAAAAGATTCTGAACGTAGGAGCTGCAAGAAGGGAAATTCATTGGTGTTAAGCAATTCAATGGTATTTAATTTCTAAGTGAAACAATCTATTACGATCCAAGTTTACTGCTAGCAGATATTGTCCTTTTTAGACTTTTCCTTTCGGACTTTCCCTCAAGGTTTTTAAAACGCGTCTACTAGGGAGAGGTTTCCACATCCTTATAAAGAATGTTTTGTTCTCCTCTCCAACTGATGTGAGATCTCACAATCCACCTTCTTTCGGGCCTAGAGTCCTCGCTAGCACTCGTTCCCTTCTCTAATTGATTTGAGACCTTGCCGTTACTTCACTCTGTATGCTGTTAACTACAAGGATTTTGCATATTGTCTTGCTTATGTTCTATACTCGACATGTCCATGTCGCGTTACTGGGAGTTTCTTAGAGTATACGTCACGTGTCTAGTATAGAATATACACAAGAATTTCCACTTAGCTGTTATGTTACATTTGATCTTATTGCTTCGACTGTACCGTTTGCAGGCAGGTATGGTTGAATTCGTTGGTTTAGTTAAGGTGAACGTGGTTAGAGGAACCAATTTAGCTGTGAGGGACGTCATCACGAGCGATCCGTATGTAATTCTCTCGTTGGGGAATCAAGTGAGACTCCCTACTGAACTTTTCTCATATTTTCATTTCTTAAGGGATGCTAAATCACCTGGATTCACCTGTTCTTTGATGACTTTTAGTCAGTGAAGACTCGTGTTATAAAGAGCAGTTTGAACCCAGTCTGGAATGAAAGCCTAATGTTGTCTATTCCAGATTTCGTTCCTCCATTAAGGGTGGTAAGTTGATTGACTGTAAAATTTGTCCAAAATCATTGTGGAATTTGAGTTAAATATCTTGATTACATTGAATAAGAGCTTGAAGTAACTCTGTGCAGCTTGTATATGACAAAGATACGTTTTCAACCGATGATTTCATGGGTGAAGCAGAAATTGATATCCATCCGCTGCTCTCCGCAGCCCAAGCTTGTGAGAAGTCCACAGCCTGTGAACCCATGCAGCTAGCAAATTGGGTTGCAGGCAAGGAGAACACTCTTGCAAAGGATGGCATCATCAGTCTTGTGGATGGGAAGCCACGACAAGACGTCTCCTTGAAGCTGCAGAACGTCGAGAGGGGCGTGCTGGATATGGAGCTTGAATGTGTTCCCCTTTCTCAGTAGCTGTTCATTCTTCCATCATCCTAAACTCTTCTTCCATCATCCTAAACTCCTATCGAATCTGACATTGACCAATCTGAACATAACTCAACTCGTGAAGACATATATTCTCAATCAAATCGTCAGAACTTTGATTCTTCCATCTCGCTCATTTTGAACACGAAAAAGTATTAGGAAACCATAGATAGAGCTCGTTTTGGAGATCACGGCAAATCAATGTACAAACGAACGCCCTGTGTTGAAGAACTATTGTCTCTGCTACAAAATCCTTAGAGCATGTATTCATTAACATTAACCCCTCGTAATGTTTCTGTAAAGTGTATACTATGTGGTGTTGAGGAACATTCTACAGTTTGTTAATATGATGGAAAGGAGCAAGAACTTGGCCTTTTCTTGTACTTGGAAAGCCAGAAATATGAAAAACAAGACGACTCTCGATCGGCAAAAATGATTGTCTATTCCAAAATCACTTTCAAAATGTCCTAAAATGCTTATTCATAGTAATGTTTTCAAATAAGAAAATTTTCTCTAACGTTTTAGCTAATCCGAGCATAATTTTCCAGTCGAGATCTCGAGGATCATAGCTATGAGGCAGAGAGATTACTGATGTAATTGATATCTGTTTCTAATATCAGAAAAGAACTTGGTTTCAGCATTCATAATAACAGCTTCAAACCGAGCTTTTAGTTTCGATCCTCTTAAGAAAAAAAGTTACAGAGTTTGCATTCAGAATAGATTAGAAAGCAAGCAACTGCAGACTACTTCAACATCTCAGCCAAAACATACTCTTTACGTATCAATGGTAAACTTTTTCAGATGAGAAGCATGAACAATAGCGTTTTCACCATATGAAACAAGAACAAGAACAAGAACAAGAACAATCTGATCTATCTAAGAGAAGGTCACACAGATGAAAGTAATTCAAAACGAGCACTCCCATGAAGACGAGCCTAAAAAACATGAGTAAGTGTTACCTCGTAGACAATCCGGGAAGGAAATCTTACATTCTGTGAGCAAAAACACAAACATATGAATTAATAAGAGCTATAAACACAATCAAATTTAAAGATCGATATCGATATAGATATAGATATGGGTATGAAACAACAAAGCCTTTTAGTAAGAATACATCAATTGCAACCACTGCAAATTGGCGTTGGCAAATAGCACTAGATATTTACATACCCATTGAGGGGAAATAATCTCCCCTGTAACAGGTCAAATGAAAAAAGGAAACCCAGAAGAAAAAACATGACTCATTACCAAGATGCTGTTCATAAAGTACATGAACACCAGTACCCGATTGATGAACACTTGGCTAAACAATAAACCATTAACCAAAGAGTTCAAACTCCAAACTTATGTAGGCACATCCAAAATCAATAATGTGAGGGTTCAGTGATTATTTATCAACAACAAAGCATGTGAAATACACACCGAGGAACATCGGTTGGTTTGTTCGTTCGAGCGCGTTCATTCCTTCCGAGGTATAATTCAGGAAGCACATTCAGGACATCGAGTTAATCCATTTTCATTGCAATCTAAGCACCTCTTCAAGACGTGTTCATCTTCATCAAACACCTTCTTGCTCCCACTGCAGGTCATACAAGGAACAAACCTTACATCCCCACAACCCTCACACACAAACCCAGGTTCCTGAATCGGGAACCCCTCGAGAATCTTCATCAATTCTCCAGCTTCAAAGAGTTGTTTGATCACCTCGGCTCCTCCCACATGCTTGCCCCTAATAAACACTTGAGGCAAACTCACATTCTTCTCGCCAAAAACACTCTGCAACTCTTTCTTGTACGCAGAATCCATAGAAATGTCCCGCTCATCCACCCAAACTCTAAAACCTCGGAAAATTATCCTCACGGCATAGCAATCCTCATACGTCCTTCGAATTCCTCGTAAACTGGTTAAGTAAACAACAATTCTATCCTCAGTACCAGGTAATCGAATGGAAGGAACCCGGAAATCAGATGCAAACGATTTGGCGGATTTTAGCTTGCTTTGAATTTGATGATGCGATCCTTCGGCAGGCGTAGGAGAAGACTTACCGCCCTCGAATATATTACGCAATTGCTTGACCTTCCCTTTAATCGAATTGCTGGCGGATTTCATGGTTTCAAAAGGGCTATTGTAATATTTCTTGACAGAATCCGTCCGATTGAGCGAGGATCGAAAATAGGGTTTCATAGGGGAATCCATGGAGGATGAATGCAACGTATGGGATCGATTGAAGAAGGACGACTTGAGTTTTTCCGAAAATTGCATAGTTCGATCAAATTCCGCCATGAAGCCACAAAAGGAAATGGAATTAACTGGAAATCCAATGAAAATCAGAGGGAAAAGAAGCGAAAAACGTGAAAATCAGAGGGGAAATCGATGAATCGTGAACCAGAATAGAGGTGGTGGTTTTTGGTATGATGAGAAAAAACTGAATCGCCCTGTTTAGGTAAGGGAGGGAAAACGGTGGAGTATATGCGTAGATGCGTATATGCGTATATGCGTAGCTAGTACGCGAAGAATCGAAGAATGTTGTTGGAAACCCTTATTTCTAATTTGTAGATCAATAGATAGAGAGAGAAATGGAGCTTTTCCGGTGGAAATCAAATAGCGTATGGCTATGGCTATGAATTAAGAGAGAGAAAGAGGAGTTTTGATTACCTTCTTGAAATGAATACGCGGCGGCAGGCTTTCTTCTTCCTTCTTCTTCTCTCTTTCATGGCTTTCTCTCTCTTCTTTCTCTCTCCTCACTGTAAATGATCTGCTTCATCTCTCTCAACTCATTCACCGCCATTAACTTCCACTCCTTTGCTTATTTATATATGCCTCCCATTTTACATTAATTTATTATTATTTTACTAAATTAATAAAATTCTAATTCACAAATAAATAAAACTATAAATACTTTATTTATTTTAATCTCTTTATTAAATATTTTTTTAAGTTTACAAATTGCAAAATTATAAAATAAAAACTAATTTTTCCATTATTATATTGTTTATTATCCATAAAATTTCCCCATAATTCTAGGGAATTAATCAAAATAATTAATATATAATTTAAATATATTATCCATACAATTCTTTTTAATAAAAGTAAAGTAATAATTGCAATTATAAATAAGAATTATAGACCTCGTATAACAACTCTATTTTTATTTTTTATTTTCTTAAATTGAACGATTAGCTATCATTTTCAGTTTATTTATTTTTAGAATTTAATTTAAAATTTTTTTTATCATAATTGAATATACAGGAAAACTTTATTTTTACCAAATTTTTTTTTTTTAGTTTTTAAAAAATTAACAGTAACAAAATAAATTTTATATATGAGATTGGACCCGAACTCGATATTACATCATAAGCAAATAACAGGAAAAAAAAAAGAAGGAAAAACAAGAAACCGGGGAGGAGAGTTGAAGTTGGTGACTCTTTCGAAATTCCTCATGGTTTGAAATTAGAGGAATGCTCGTGGAAACTATCAGCGTTGGAAGCTGAAGGGATAAGCCATATTAGGCGTTTATTCGAAGGTAAGAAAACCCATTTGACTGAATCTTTAAATTCCGATATCTTGGTCTATATTGCGTAATGAGTTATGAAGTAGAGTTTGTTAGAATCGTGATAAGGAGATCTATAAATTTGTAGAAGGAATCGGGATGAAGTTCAAATTGTAGAAGTAGGATATGACTTAGAGATACAACAGGTATTAATGAAAAAGTTGGAAAATTGTGCAGAACCGCAAGAAAGAAGAAGAGGCGCGTGGGAGTCTACGAGTGAGAGCGCGACTATGCGCAGGTTAGGCGCTTGAGATAAGCACATCAAGTGTGTGCAGGTGCATGAGAGCACGCGCGTGCAGGCGCTTGACCTGTTCCACTCAGATTGACCTATACTTACTTTGAAAATTGTGAAATATAGGTCTAATTGGAAGAAATTTGATTGAAATACCCTTTAAACGTACATCTTATGGAAAATGAGTTCGAAACCAGGTAAGTAGCATATCGTGCTTTAAACTAGTTCTTAACTTGTTTTACAACATGTGAGTATGTTATTTACACGATTAAGAGCTTAGTATGTTAATATGTGCTTTGATCATATTGAATGTCTATTTGTATATTGTGACTGTTTGCTTGTGATGTAAGCATGTTATAAATAATTACTGGAATGTTCTGTGTGTCAAGTATTATAAATATATGAAAGCATGCATTAAATGTGAGTATGCTATCATGTTAACGGAAAGGTTATGACTCTAGGATATGCTTATAGATTATTGAGTCATGTCCTATTTATATGAGTATTGTAGTCTACTAATTCCCGCGGAGTTCCTGACCAACGCGCTGTGTGCTAAGTCAGAGAGAATGAGTACTCCTGATCGTTGGTATATGAGATATACAAGCCGTCGAAGAAATTAATAGACGAGCCGTATTTGACCGAGAGCGAATCTTACATACGAGTCCGAAATTCAAGATAAGCATATAGAGAGAGTCACTAACCTAAGCTGGTGGTAGGTGAGATACCTCATTAATGAACAGATGACCCTAGTAAAAGAACTAGGAGTCAATGTCGAATAAAACTTAATGTCGCCTGGAAATATTAGTTATAACTTATAAATGATAAGTTAGCTGCTTACGAGGTTAATTTAATTACTCGTCAAAATTGTTTTAACTTTTCTTTCCAGATTTAGATGATTCAGACCAACCAAGGACGAGACCAGCGAGCTAGAGACTACAGGGAATCCATGTCTGGGTCTGTTTGCGCAGTTATGCTTTCGCTGTCAAGAATTTACTTTGGTTAAAATATTTTGAAATTTATGAGTGGTTGTCAGAGTGCATTGTCGATGTTAGTAGTAGCTCCTATGAATCGCGTTGACGATGAGCAGGTGTTTCAATAAAACTATTGTTACTCATGACTACAAGCACCGCCTCCCGTTACAGCCTTCATATGCCCTTGTCGATACTTAAAAACATTTTTAAGAAAGGATGAATATTGAAATTACTAAATAAGAAACACCTTATTGGAGTTAGGTATGCATATCATACGAACAAATACGAAAAAATCAGACTTACAAATCATTCAAAATTGGTCAACTCTCGTGCAAACACAAATGAGTAGTTGTCACATGGACTCAGGAAGCTGGATAATTTTGGCACACAAAGACCTAATTGCCCTTAAAATCACCGATCACTTGTGGATGTATATAATAAAATGATGTAAAATTTACAAGAATAAGTGCAAGTATACACTATCAAATAGCAAGTAATAAGTAAATTGTCGATTCCACAGTAATCTTCTTATCTGTTACTTTTTTTTTTCCTTCCTTTAATTAAATACACCGTCTTCCATTTGTGTCCGTTTCTTTTTTTTTTTTTTATAATTATATTCATAATCTACCATTTATATCTTTTTTTTTTTTTTTTTTTTTTTT